TTCTTCTTTTTTTAAGTAAGACTTATTCTCTACTCTTTCGTTGTAAATTTTCATTTAACTCTTCTTTCTAAAACATTGTTTTGGTTTAAGTCTTTCTTGAATAATAAATTTTTTGTGATGATTGTCTCTCTATTTTATTTTGCTATTTCGTACAAAAACTTTTTATTATGTTATTTATATGAAAATAAATTAGGTGGACAACTGATATTTGAATGATACGTTAATGTATAGTTATAGAATTAAGCGCAATCAAAAAATTAAAAACATCAATCGGTCTCGTTTAGCTTGATGACAGCTCTGATCTGACGTGAGTCTCTTATCAACGGATGTAAATACATATGGTGATAAATGGCGAATTTAATATTGGAGTTAATGGGACTAATATTAATACACCATTAAGAAATTTTAAGTTAAATCCAATACCATCGTATTCTGGAAAAGTAATCGGCATTATGATAGATTGCTTGAGTGAATGGTGTTACTGTTACTGAAGAGCAGAACCACACCTACATTCTTTTTAATACAAAATTAGAAAAGACTTCGTTCTATATAGATTAGAATTATTTATTTTGTCATGAATAATATGGCAATACGCAAGAATATTTTATAATAGAAAAAACAACACAATTAATTTGTTTGTCAATATTAAAATGGTTTAATACGACCAAGTGTTAAAAATTCTTCGCGAGTTTTAGGATCTTCACGAAAAACACCAAGCATTGCTGATGTTGTTGTTCGTGAATTAACTTTTTGTGCACCTCGCATAATCATACACATATGACTAAAAAAAAAAAAGAAAAAAGACTTACTTATTTATGTGCTTTTTCTTTGTTTTATTTTTATTACTTACAGACATTCGATTATGACAGCTACGCCTCTTGGTTCGATTGCTTCGGCAATAGCTTCTGCAATTTGTCGTGTTAAACGTTCTTGTACTACAATATCAATGTCAAAAAAAAATGTCACTTTTTTTTTTCATTTACAAACCTTGTAAACGTCGACTAAATACTTCAACAATTCTACAAAGAAAAAGTAAATAAAACAATGAAATTGAAAGATTTCTATATCGATATAAATTAATCTATTACCTTGCTATCTTACTTAAACCTAATACTCGTTTATTGGGTAAATAACCAACAGATACTTTACCAAAAAAGGGTACCCTAAATAAGAGATATTATTTTTAGTATTCACAACAATAAACAAAATACATATGATGTTCACATAAAGAATAAATATCAATTTCTTTTACTACGACCATATTTTCGCATTCTTCATCAAAGATAGCATCGCTAACAACATCTCGAATTGTTTGTTCATAACCTTTTGTAAAAAAAACCAATGCCTATAAACAAGAAATATATATTAATTGATTTCATCTTTTATAAAGGAAATAAATCCATTAGATTATTCTTTTCTTTTTCTTCTTCTTATTATTATTATTACATTCATATTAACATTTTCTACATACTTCAGCAGCACGTTTTGGTGTCTTGAGAAGGCCTTTAAGTAAAAACCATATAAACATTTGAAAAAATAAGTAAAGAAGAAGAAAATAACATTCTACCTTGTCGTAATGGATCTTCACCAATACTTTCTAAAATACCTTGATAACTTCGACTAATAGCATTAATACGTTGTTCACGAACTGATTCCGTATCAGCTTCACGTAATGCTTTTTCATCGAGTACACTTGGTCGACGACGATAATGTGGAGTTCGTTCATTTTCACCATTTTCTTGTACTGATAATGATATTGATTTTGTTTGACGTAACAATGGACTTACGGTATCGTCTAGTTAAACAAACAAACAACAACAATAATTAATAAAAGTTAAAAAATATATTTAATACAAATAAAACAAAGACAATGGTATGACATTTTTTACATGGTGATTCATGATTACGTTTTGTTGTTATTGATTTAGGTGATGTTGCTGAAAAGAATCGATAATTTTTATTTATGGGTGACTCAAGAAAGATATCATCATCTGATTGTTGCGATGCCATTATTCGTACTAGTTTATAGACGTTATAGTTCAACTAATGGCTACTGTTGACTACTGCTTTAATAACGATTCGATTTATCATAGTTGCTCTCATGCCTTTTTTGTTATGCATTTTTTTTCTTTTTTTTTTTTTCTTCAGTGATTTTCTAAGATAAACGAAGGCGGAAGCCATAACGACGACAAGACAAATCGAAAACTGTCAACAGACGATGACGGGACCCTAATGGTATTGATAAAACATTAAAATTTATTCTCTTTTTCTTTATTCTCTTTTGTATGCTTCTCTGTGGGAATTTTGTCTATTGATAAGTATATGAAAATGATTGACATGAAGAAAGAGAGTCATCTTTATCTTGATAAAACATACCATATTCTGTAACGTTCATGGTACACATTGGTTAATAGAGACGAGCAATTTTTATTTCTTTGTGATAAGAACAAACGACACAGAAAATCATAGAGAAACAGCAAACTTTTGATTTATATATATTTATAGACAAGAAGTTAATCAGATGGCCTAGACTCTTTTTTCTTTCTGGTTTTCTTTTTGTTCAATCACATAATTTTTTATATATCTATGCTTTTTCTTCTTGCATTGATTCCATTTACTTTTAACATTTAAAAAAGCCTATAGTATTCCCTTGTCATTACTATTGTTCTGTTGACATACAGCAATTTCTGTCGTTCGTTTGCTCCGTAGGAGTTTTCTTTTTCTTCTTTCTTTTTCGGTTATATTTTACATTGATTCTATTGTTATTTATTATTGTATGCAGCATTGAAAGAATAAGATGGCAACATCGACAAGACGAACTGATCAATACAATGATAAAAAATCTTATGTTGTCAAAGATCTTATCTGGTAATATGATTTAATCAATTCTTTCTTATATACATATAGACATATACTTGTAATATAATTTAAATACTTTCAAGGAAAGATCATATATCGAAAATTGATACAGCACAAAAAATTCATGATCAAAAATGGGGTTTTCTTAATGAGGTTCAACCTCAAGTATAGTTTAAATTTTCTTTTAAATTATTAATCAAATGATTAAATATTCAATAGACTTCATCATACGATCCAAAACGATCATCAAGAACTTCACTTGCTCGTACTAATTTTCCTTCAACAACTGAGACTAAACATATTAAAGAACAACCACAACAACATGTTACAGTTAGTCCATCTCCAAGACCGCTACCAATGACAACAAGTAGTTTAATTGGTTGGCGAACAGCAGATAAAAATTGTACATTGGAAAAATATGGCAAATATACACGCGGACAAGAATCTTTACATAAAAAGTTCAAATGGCCTGTTGAAGGCTTTGATTAAACAGTACAGTTATTATACAGAACTGAAAAACAACAAAAAAAAAATGTTTTTTTATTATTTTTACACTTTATTTTGAGTATAAGTAAATATTAAAAATATAAATTACATGCTTTTCTCTTTATTTTGTTGTTTTTGTTGATTACTTTTTTTTTTCTACTTGACGTAAAATCGTACGTTATTACACGAGACAATCGGATCTGAGCACAAGCAACAAAAAAAAAAGAAAATCTTTTTGATTCATAATAGTAGCAGAATCGACGGCAGCCACATTGCACCCGTCGATGTTGAAAAGAAGAAAAAAAAGAAAGGAGTAGTTTGACATAGAATGCAATTTTTTTCTATGATCAAATGTCTTTCACACTAGTTTTTTTTTTCTCTTTCTATTTTCTGATCTTATCGATCAGACAATCTCAAAAAAAGAAACTTTCCGTCGGTGTTTTGTCAAGCTCAGTTTTGTTTTTTTTTCTACAAACTAGTATTTTTTAAATGAAGAGAAAAAAAAGAGAAACCGAGCTAACAGCGTAATGCATCGAGCAATTTTATAAATGACTGAGGTGTACATGATTTATATTCCTGATTTTATTTTTGACAGATCGATTAGATATTAACATTGATTCAAGCGACGTTTTTTTTTCTATTTTAATTGAAAAAATATGATCATTGAGAACGCAGGACCTCTATAAATGGTCTTGATAGATTCGTAATTCGTTGTCCACCAATCAATGTTTTTCAATTCCATTTTTTTATCCCATCATTTTTTCTGCCCGTTTTTTCTGGCACATTGCTCCGCCTTTCATTATTTCTCCCTCTTTAGTAAAAAAAAAAAAAAAGATAGTCTTTTATTATTTTGTCATAATCAAGCATTCAGATTTCAATAGATAGAATTTGATACATATATTTCAGAGATAAACATTATTTTCATTGTGTTAATCTTTCTTTATTTTCTCGAGAAATATTCGGATTAGCAAAAAGAAGAAATAAGTCTTACTAAGTAGATTTTAAAGAATGCTTTTGCTTCATTGGCATCTATGAATACATTTTCATACGCTTGATTGATTATATATATCGCAAAACAATAAGCAAAAAAAAACCAAAGTATTCTCTGCATATATTTTTTTTTTCTTTGTGTAAACAAATATCATGACATAGGAGACATAGTTAATCGTGTAATAAAATAGATGTAGACTCATTTTTTTCTCTTTTTGTTCATATTTTTTCTTCGCTAGAGCTGTTGCTTTTTTTTCGTTACGATGATCAGAAAAGAGCTATGTTCTCATATATTTACAGGAATATTGTTGGTTATGGAATGTGAAGAGAACCAAACAAGAGCAAAGACAGTCCTTTACACAAATAACATTGAAACAGCAAGTCAAAAAGGAACACACTATCGTGCTATCAGCGGTAGAAATACTAATAGCAATAGCGAGAAAAGAAGAATGGAAAAAAAGAAAATACGACGACAGAAAAAAACTTAATATAATGAACGAAGAGATCTTTTGCCACTCCTTCAAATAGGCATAGCGACTTCGCTGGATGCGTCCATTAATAAATACACATGTTCATACTAGTTTTATTTTTATTTTTATTTTTATTTTTGTAGTTATATATTAATTTGTCGTATTTATTGATCTGTACATAATTTAAAAATTATCATGGCTTCATTTATTATGAAACAAATGATGGGTTCTCAACTAGATAAAGTTAAAGGTAGGTTATGAAAGAAAACAAAATTTTTCATGTTGTTATGATGTCGCACGTTGCAGTCAATTAATACTGCCTCACTGAATGTAAGCATCTATCTGTCTTTAGCATACTTAAATTCACTAGAGAATAGTAGATAGAACTAAGAAATACGACAAGCAACCTCGAAGTTATGTTTTATATTTTTTATTGCTTGACTATCCACTGTTACCTCATCAATCATGCTCATTCGAATAGTAATTTTTAATAGTTGACTTGACAATATAATAGTTAAGTTAGAAGTTCTAATATATACATACAAAACTCGAAGTAAATGATTCGATGGTAGTGACATCTTCGATAGAGATAGGATTAATAAGTTAATTTTTCAAGAACACAAAAAAAATCCCCGAAAGAAATTATTGAATGTTTACCATCAATTTATATTGAAATAAAGATGAGTCAATATGAGATCATATTGGTATTTTTATGCTTTAATGATTTTGTTTTTTTTTTCAACTTGAAGAATTGACTGGTGGTGATGGCGATAAAAAAGATGGTGGTAATGATGAAGAAGATCCTGAGGTAAAATGAACTTGTTTATATATATATATGAGTGTGTATGTATGTCTTTTTTGCTTGTGTTGTTTGTCATAATCAATTTTACTATTATTATTATTATTGTTGTCAAAGAATCTGTTCAATAATTAACATTTTTTTGTCATCTTGAATAAGAAACATGAGAAGAAAATACGTCTACTAGACTCATCTATTTTATTTTTTTTTATCAGGATTCATATGTAGGTTATTACTAGGTATTTTCAATGGTTATTTTTGCTCGGTTGAAGCATCAATGATTCTTATAGTTCGATCTTATCTTGTTGATTGTCCATGCACATATTATTTGTCACTTATTTCTTCCCATTTTTTCTTTTTTTCTTCAATAAACCTCTTAACTTCACAAGTGACAAATAGTCAAAATGTATTGGTTCACTAAAGATCAACATGGTATCATACTAACTTAGTCTTATTTTTGTTTTTGCTTCTCTCCCCCCCTTTTCTTCTTGTCTTATTCTCTCCATTTTGATGTTTTTTTTCTGTCTCTCTTCTTCTCTTCTTCTTCGTCTTTTTTTTTTTTAAGTGAACGCTCAATGAGTGACATTTTCTTTTTTTCTAACATAAACACAATTCTTATCATTCACTACTCTATCATCATCATTATCAATCTTTCTAATAGTTTCATCAACTTTAAACATTCGTTTGATTTTGATAGAAAACAAAACAATAATTATTCAATTTTTCTTTTGTGGTATACAAATAAGTCTTAAGTATGGATAAGTTAAATGTGAATGCATTATTTCTATCTGCCCCTTCATCAAATACTACTCGACGACTTTCATTTGTACCATTATTTACAAAATCAACACCATCATCACCATCACCTACACCGACAACTCCTCGTCGTAAGAGTATGGTGGAATCACCGGCGGTAAGTAAAATATGATGATCAACCAATAATTAACATGAATGTGATCTATTTTATTCTCGAATACACAGGATAATTGTAATTGTTAAATTTACTAATAAGACGTTCATATTTTACATGAATTAAAGAAAAACAAAAAAAACGTCTAATATATTTTTAGGTTGCTGAAGCTCGACGTGAAGCCGAAGAAAAACGTGATGCCAAGTATGCTAAAATGGAACGTCAACGAGAAGAAGTTCGACAAGCTATTAGAGAAAAAGTAAATTTTTCAAAGAGAAAAATTCTTTTTTATTTTTTTTGCTAAGTCAAGATTAATATTTAAATGAAAAAGTAGATATCGATGTTAGTTAGGAAAAAAAAAACACAGATAAAACTGTCATTAAAAGAGGCCTCTTGGGATATAATTATTCAATGAATTTGATAGGCCTCTGTTTATGAATGTCACGATATGATTGAAATTTTGCTAATTTTTATTTTAAATTGACGACTTTTAACAATATTGATAAGAAATATAAGAGATTTATAACTCTTTTTTTCTTTTTTGAAGAAAGCACTTGCTTTGCTCGAATATTTATTTCCAATAATTGAATTCTTAACGGATGTCTATTATTGTTTTTTTTTCGAAATATATTTATATATATATATATATATTAATAGTCTCAACAAGATTTATAGTCAAAGTCTATTATTAGTAAGATTTATAGTAAATATAATCATGAGATTTTTCATTTAACATCATTCTTTTTGTATTGATAAATATATGTTATAAATAAGAAAAATAGTTGAATCATTCTTTTATGATTTTCTTTTTCTTTTTGTTTAGTATAATATTAAAAAAAAAGAAGAATCAGTTGCATTACCACCACCATGCGAAGGACGTTTGACAGCAGACAAAAAAGGACCTATTCCATTACCCGACGATGATGATAGTAAGTTTTATATTTTCATTTATATTTTGATATATTATTTTTACTTATCTCTAGGTTTTGATCCAGTTAAAATGGCAACAAATGCATTAAATACAATAACCGATAAATTGCCATTTAAATTACCGTGGAAATAAAATTTTCCAACATTCCTTATTTTCTTCAATATAACCATTATTTCGAGTATCGAATAAATGTCAGTCATCTTTTATACATATGTTTCTCATATGCATATAAACTTCTATTTTATTTTATTTTTTTTTTTGTTCGTTTTTCAAAATGCACTCTCATTGCATCTATTTGTGTATTGTATGTAAGAAAGAAAACAAAAAAAAAGAAATTTAATCAATAAAATATGTGTATATTGCTTCCTATGATATACATAATTCGGCATAATTTAATGAATTTTCATTGAACAAAAAAACAAAACAAAATGTACAAAGTACAATAGTCAAATTAAATTTTTTATTCAAGTCTTAGACGATATAAAACAGTAGAATTAGTAGAGAAAATGACGCATTAGGACAAAAAGTTCATGAAAGTTAATATAATATTAGGCTATTTCTAATCGTCAGAATAATTGTTTTGTGTAATTCATATTTGAAAAAGAGATAATGATAAAATGAAAAGTAAAAAAAAACTAAATCATAAGTAAATACAAATTGATAATTGACGTAATCTTCTAAGAAGATTATAACATAAGGTTTTTTTTTCCTATTTTTTGAACACATAAACTTTTGTAGAATTAATATATGGAACTATCACATCATATAGTACAAAATAACCTAAATTAGATTCATTTCTATAGATATATTCTGTCGTCTTGATTATCAGCTTCATCAATTTAACGTTCAAGTTCGTGTCTCTTTCAAAGAATGTTGAAAATATATAATTGTATTGTTTTCTTTTTGGAATAATGATTACTATCACTGAACGTTTTCCCATGACATATCGTTTTTTTTTTGTGTGCTGTCTTGTCGTGCTCAATATAGCATTATTCATCATGTCAAAAACTTCTAGTTACAATTTTTCTTCATGACTTGTCTGTCTTTTGTGTTTTTGAAGCGAGAAAATTATTAAAAAAAAAACTACGACAACTGAAATTTTCATTTAGCACACGTAAGAAATATGAAATACTATTGATTTTATTTTCGTATAATTAATTAAAAATTCAAATCGATATGAATATATCGATAAGATCGTTCTCTAGTTTAACAATTCTAGGGACTCTGAGGACTATTTTAATTAATCTAGTTTATGCATTAAATATGAATATATTTTGAATAGAGACACATTGACAAGTGTAGCATCGTATGAAAGTCACGCAATCTATTATTCGATAAATTTCAATCATAGGAAATAAAATAATTAAGACAATCTATTATTTATGTACAGTTAGAATAGGGAACAAAAGTTTTGCGAAGTTGAAAAGATTCTCAATTAGGATTGATAGACCCCTAGATTTCAGCAAAATTGCTTAGATGTAAACCTGCGAAAAATCAAGATCTTCTAAATCAACTTGCTGACATTCGTTGAAAATTTTGATGTTTACAGAAGACCCTGAAGTGTCAATCATGACAAAAACAAGGAAACTTTCAATTAAGCGAAAGGAAAAGAAAATCATGAAGAGATCGGAGTCGTCTCATCCTACTCTATCAAATAACATATTTTCCCAGAAGCGTCGAATAGCAACCAGAAAGTTAGCTTTAGGAACCTTCATACAAGCAGTTTTGTTAGCGTCTTCTGATCTATCAATTCAAATAGATAATTCTTTCAGTTACACAAATGCTTTTCTCAGATTCTTACTGACTATTATTATCGAAAAGGTGAAAACTACAAAAAATAATACAACTGCTCTAAACTTATATCTGTCACTATATATAAAAAATGTTTGTAAACGATATTATATCAAATAAAAGTTATATTTACAAAGAAGTCTATCCCAATGTTCAAGAGAAATATAATATGAAAAAAATTGGATAGGGTTTCATTTGTTTTGTTTTTTCATGAGTCTTTGTTTAGTCAGATTCGTAATCTACAATAAAATTGTTCAAAAAAAGAAAAAGAAACTCAAATTTTATTGAGTTACTCAAGCTCTAAGAGAATTAAAACTTTATTTTTGTTTTTTTTTTTTAGAAAAATCGATTATATAATGAAATACGCATTCTTTTAACCTAAGCGTCTTAGAAGATTCTAATATTTATTACTACAGATCATTTAAGCCAAAAATATGTCATTTATTTTTCTTTCCTTTCAATTCTCGTTCACTTAGGTAGAAAACATTATTCTACTGATACATCATAACATATAATCTTGTTACTATATTACTGTTTTTTTTATTCTTTCTTGAATAAGCTTTATTTTTAGTATTTATTTTAGAGATTAAATTTTATAAAGAAAGAGATTAGCTATCAGGTATTGTCTGACATCTATTGCCAGTTATTTTCTTAGCTCGCAAGAAAAAAAAAATGTTGACCATCCATTCTTTCTGTTGTTACTCTTTCGACAAACGAAGAGGAAGACTATGTAGATTAGTGTATCAATCACTCTCTCAAGTTCATTGTTGACTTCAATTTACTTGTTTCTTTTTTTTTTTTTCTTTTCGATGGTTTTAAGTTCTTAAACTAAAAAATATGGCAACTATTGATGATAATGCACGTTGGTTACATTCAAATGCTGATCTTTTATCAGGTCATGGCATTAATTATAATGTTAATGTAAAGATATTGTTTATTTTTCATATTTATTTTTTTTAATATGAATTAATCTTTGGTTTTTCGTTTTTTTTTTTAAAGTATATCGGATCTGTTGAAGTACTTTGTTCAATGAAAACACTTGATTTTGATAATCGTACACGAGTTGCACGTGATTCTATTCGTTTAGTGTGTACAGCAGTTGGTGTTTTATTAAAAGAACGACGTAAAGTAATTGAAATATTTTATATTTATAAATCGATATTACAACATTAATATTTATTTAGCCTGAATCATCATCAATAGGACAATTAAAAATTGCAACAGAACCAAATTTAACTTATAGTCATACACCTGTTCAATTAACAATTAGTACTGATGCACTAATAGTTAAACGATTAAGTGATTCACAAATACTTTATTCACATAAAATGGAAGGAATTTCATTTGCAAGTGCTGGAGAACATGTATGAATTGTTTTTAATGATATGTTTTTTTTTTTGTATTGTTTTGTTTGATTTTTTAGGATACAAAAGATTATATAGCTTATGTAGCAAAAGATAATATGAATAAACGATCATGTCATGTACTTTCATGTGAAGAAAATGAATCATTAGATGTTATAACAACAATTGGACAAGCATTTGAATTACGTTATAATGAATATATGCAATTACAACAAGGAAATGATCAACAAGGGTATGAAAATTATTTTTAATTTAGAAATTTATTTATTATTTTTGAATCAAAAAATTTTATTTTATTTAGAGTAATCAAATCATTTGAACATGATGAATTTCTTCAACAAGTAAAATTTTATATATTCAAAAAAAGTATATATTTATCTTTTTTGTTTTTTTAATCATAGAAACGGGATGAAAATCTTAAACGTTTTATTCCTCATTATAATCAACCACAACAACAGACACAAGGTATGTGTAAATATTCTTGTATATATATATATTTATTTATTTATATCAATTAAAAACAAGTGATTTTCATATATGTGTTATTTTCTTTTTGTTAAGCATCTAATATAGTTTTAAAAACATTGTAAGATAAGCATTTGCTATCATTTACGAAAATAGTTGCATGTTTGGTATTTTTATTTGCATGTAAAACAAAAACGAGATAAATATATTAAAGCTTCAATTTCCGATTATTCGTTGTTTCTCGTTTTTTTTTTTTCCTTTTTAAAATAATCATTCAGATATATTAGCATCTTATTTTGTGTATACAAATCGTTGGTTAGTTCATATATTTTAATCTAATTGATTAACTGATAATTGTATTAAATGAAATATCATTGCTTCTTTTCGGTTCACTTAATCCATCATCAATTTACAAACTAATTCGAGTTGTAATATAAACTTCTTCCTTAATTCGAACTTGAACTTAATTTCAGTTTGAATATTAACATAGAGTAATCGTAAAGACTTGCTCGACGTTCCTGTAAAGAAACTCAAAGGTCAATATAGATTTTTTTTTTCTTCAGAAAAGAATATCTTAATATAGAAAATAAAGCTAATGACGTTAGATTATTTATTCGACAGCTCAATGCTGTTTTTATTAGTAATAAAAATTCGGTATCAAACCAGATAATGGAAGTTTCTCTATGCTTTAAGATTAGAGTAAATCGAGGTATTGTATCGGTGACATAATATAGACATACAAATTTTATGTGTTAATCAGAAATTGGAAGTTAACGTATTTAAATAGTGAAAAAGTGTAAAAAAAAAAGTCTTTTGTGAACTCTAAGGAAACAATTAGCGTTTTCACCTTGACTTCTTTTCATTAATGCCTATCGACTTCAAGTTGATGCTTGCGAACAAATTTTATCGAACTATATTTTGTAGTTAAAATGTTAAGTAGAAAGATTGAAGTTTATGTAATTTTTATCTAGTAGTAGAACTTCTTATTACTACAGATAAATGGGTATTATTTATATGTATGAATATATAAAAATTAAATATATATTGAATTTAAATAAATTTTGTCTATTTTTATTATTTAGGAAATTGGAATACAATGAACAGTCATGATGTTTACAAAGAAAAATGGTTTCATGGCAAGATTAGTCGTGATGAAGTATGTATAGATTATTTTTAGATATTTTAAAAGATAGTTTAAATGAGAGAAGATAACGAAAGACATACATTTTTTTTTATTATTTAGGCTGAACTTTTATTACATCATAGTGGTGATTTTCTTGTACGTGAAAGTGCAAAAATTCCTGGTCAATATATTCTGTCAGGTCGTTATAAAGATCAATATAAACATTTACTTCTTGTTGATCCAGAAGGAATAGTAAGTATAAATAAGAATTTTAAAATAGAATTTTATTTTATATTTTCTCTATATAAATATAGATTCGTACAAAAGATTATGAATTTGATTCTATTCAACATCTTATATCATATCATAAATCAGGCAATATTCCTATT